AATTAGCCGGGCGTGGTGGCGGGCGCCTGTAGTCGCAGCTACTCGGGAGGCTGAGGCAGGAGAATGGCGTGAACCCGGGAGGCAGAGCTTACACTGAGGCGAGATCGCGCCATTGCACTCCAGCCTGGGCAACAGAATGAGACTCCGTCTCAAAAAAAAAAAAAAAGAAAAAGAAAAAAAGAAAAAAATACTGCTTTTCAGCTCCAGAGAGCCTTAAGCTTGGAAGTTCTCTGCTTTGGAGACAAAAGTCGCCGACGCCTGTTCGAATTGTGTGCAGGCCAAACAGTCCATAGGCATGGAGCAAGCAAGGGCGCTCTCCTGTGTTGTTCCTTTGAACTTCAGTGCCCCCACCCTCCCAAGACTGACTTTCTGGTTTTGCTTATTTTCAGAGTGCAGGCAGCTTCACGCAGGGAGTCTGCAGCTAAAGCGTTAGTGGTTTTACTTTGTTAAGGTGAGGGCGCCTGGGGTTTGGGAGGGATAACTTGCCAGTCACACACTGCCTGGCGGGGTCACACGTAGGCATCTGTAGTGTCCCCACCTCTCTCACCAATCCTCTCTCTCCACCCAGATTCCTACCCTGGGACAAAATGGATGTAGGCGGAGTTGGTTTTCAGGTTTTTATTGTGGGTGTATTTCTGGCAGCGAGACAGGGGTGGTGAGGCAGTCCCTCCCAGGAGTGGCCAGATAAGGCCAGAGGTGAGACTGGTGGAAAAGGACGGGGAAGACAGGGAACTTCCTTACTCTCGGATCTTCAGCTCCCGCGCCATCTGGCAGAGCGCGCAGGGCAGACAAAAGGTGAGGGCCGCCCAGTCGTGCCCGACGGAGCCCTAGAGGGTGGGAAAGAGCGGTCAGGAGCCCTGCCGTGGGTCCCAGGAGGCCAGTCCCCAGCTCCCTGCTCCCGCGGGTCCCCAGTCCCACGCGCACCTGAATGTGGTAGCGCTCCCTCATGCCGGTGCGGATGGAGTGCAGGCCTCCGGGCAGGTAGGGCGCGCAGCAGCACTCGCCGAAGTCGTCGGAGATGCGGCAGGCGAGGCACAGAGGAGCAAAAGTGCCGCACAGACCTGGGCGGGGCGTAGGCGGTCAGGGGCGGGCCAGCCGGGGCCTCCCAACGGCTCCGCCCCGGGGAGGGGCACGGCTGATTAGTCGCAGAGGGGCATGAGGATCCCAGCCAAGGAGAGGTCCCGGAGGGAATTAGAAGTCCAAGGAGAGGATGGCTTAGCGATTGGAAGATAGGGTTTTCTTTTTCTTCTTCTTCTTCCTCTGTTTTTAGAAATTGGAGGCCGCGCGCGGTGGCTCACGCCCGTAAGCCCAGCACTTTGGGAGGCCGAGGCGGGCGGATCACAATGTCAGGGGTTTGAGACCAGCCTGGCCAACATGGTGAAACCACGTCTCTACTAAAAATACAAAGATTAGCCGGGCGTGGTGGTGGGCGCCTGTAATCTCAGCTACTTGGGAGGCTGAGGCAGGAGAATTGCTTGAACCTGGGAGGCGGAGGTTGCAGTGAGCCTAGACTGTGCCATTGCATTCCAGCCTGGGCAACAGAGCAATACTCCGTCTCAAAAAAAAAAGAAAAAGAAAAAAAGAAAGAAAGAAAACTAAATTAAAGTCGCGCTCTGTCATCCAGGCTGGAGTGCAATGGTGTGATCACACGGCTCACTGTAGCCTCGATCTGCTGTGCTCAAACAATCCTCCCTCCTCAGCCTGCCGAATAGCTTGGGACTACTGCTGTGTGCCACTACCCCTGGCTAATTTTATTTTTTATTTTTATTTTTTTGAGATGGAGTCTCACACTGTTGCCCCAACTGGAGTGCAGTGGCGCGATCGTGGCTCACTGCAACCTCTGTCTCCCGGGTTCAAGCAATTTTCTGCCTCAGCCTCCCGAGTAGCTGAGTTTACAGGCGCCCACCACCACACCCGGTTAATTTTTTGTATTTTTAGTAGAGACGTGGTTTCACCATCTTGGCCAGACTGGTCTTGAACTCCTGACCTTGATCAGGAGTGGTCTTGATCCACCTGCTACGGCCTCCCAAAGTGCTGGGATTACAGGCGTGAGCCAGTGCACCGGGCCAGGAGTTATGGTTTGAAGAGGGAGCTGGGCGTCACAGTGAGGAAAGCTAAGAGTGCAAGGGGGAGGTTTGACGGCCCGAGAAGTTGAGTGTAGGAAGGCATGAGGTAGTATCCTAAGGAGTGTTGGGAGTCTGAGGAAAGGGTGAGTGTTAAAGAGTGGGAATTCCGAGTCCAAGGAAGGGAGGTGGGAGTGGGGTTAGCAAGCGGTGGGAGGAGGTTGGAGGTGAGCTTCCCTCTCCTAATTTCCCCCAAACCCGCCTTCCACTGGGCCTGGAGAGGGAGCAGGCAGGCACTCACAGACAGGCATGTCGTTGCAGCAGTCCGTGAGACCTGTGTGCCAGTCACTGAGCTGGGTCTGGTAGCAGCTGGTGGTGGCGCACTGGGGCTGACTGGTCACGGGGTAGGACATAGCTGCAGAGGTGGGAGGGTAGGGGTCAGCTGGCAGCCTCGCAGCACCTCTTGTGCCCTGCACTTCTGCCACCCTTCCCTCTGCCGGGCAGTCTGGGCGGGGCCACCAGGCCGCCCATTGAAGGGGCACCACTGTGCCTCCCCCTTCCCTTCTGCCACATCTGGGTACCGGCAACCCCAGTCTGTCCCTGTTGCTACTGGGTCCTGCACGTCTGGTTAGGCTGGGGGTGGGGGTCTCCTGCACATCCGAGGAAGGGTGGGAACCGCATCTGGGTGGGGCCTGGCAGTGCCTCCTCCTCCTCCATGTCTGGGCCTGGGTTCTGGGTTGCAGCATTTCTGGGGCCTCTGGGGTGGAAGCAGGCGCCGTCTGTCTTCGAAGCAAGGGTGCCCAGGGGAGGGAGGCGGCCAGGTTCCAGTACTGAGAGGGTTGCTGGTCCACCCAGTGATCCCACCTTTGCCTTTCACGTTGTCGTGCATCTCAAACTGCATCTTGCTGGCCCTGAGGAGGTGGCGTTGGGGACGGCAGAAGTGGCTGCGGCGACAGTGGCAGAGTCTGTCCAAGGGACACTGGATACTGGGGAGGTGGGGGCAAGGGACTGGGGCACCGGGGGCTGGGCTCTCAGGGGGAGAGGAGCTGGGGAGAAAGAGGCCAAGTCAGCCTGCTGGCCAGGAGAGACAAGGAGTAGGGAATGGATAGGGTGGGGGCGAGAAACTCGCCCATCGCTTTCCAACTGCCCGACAGATGGCAGAGGACCCTCCCCATACCCGAGGTAGAGCTTGAGAGAGAGTAAGAAATGGAGATGGACAGAATCAGAGACAAGGGGAGAAATATCAGAGCCAGGTGCCCACAGAGATGTCACCAGTAATGCCCACATGTGCCCAGCACTTTGACTCCTCTGCAAGCCCATCTCACAGATGAACACTGAGGCTCAGAGACATGAGGAGGAATGCCCCGCGTCTGACGGCCCAGGCCAAGGGGGTTCATAGAGGTGATGCTGGGCCACAGGACTTCTAAATTCAGCTCAGCCCACCCCAGTTAAGAAGGAGGGATTTGGGGGCATTGGGAAGGACAGAGATGTCCCGAGAGACAGACATTCAGAGATACGAAAGGAGACAGTGATATGAGTGGGATGAGGAGGAGGGAGATCAGAGCAGAGGCACCCAACTTCAAAGAAGAGGGCTGTAGAGGGGTTGCTCCTACCTGCAGGACTGCGAGGCAGTGATGGAGACAGAGGTGTGGAGACACAGGCACTGACTTCTCCCTCTCAGCCCAGAGTCACTTATATGGGCGGCCACACAGCCCTGGGCGGGGCTCTGACAGAGGTGCCCAGGGAGCCAAGCCGGTCTGGTCGACCCTCTCCCTGCACTGGGATTTCCCGCCCTCCCTCTCCACTCCCATCACCCCACTTCCCCTCCCGCTTCAGCTCCCAGGACTGAGGGGAGAGAAGGCGGCAGGGTGGGGTGGGGTAGGGGTGTGGGGGGCCACAGCTGCGTCAGTGTGCAGAGACCAAAAGAGAGGGAGAGACAGAAACACAGTGTCAGAAGGGCAGGCAGGGAAGTCCCTCTAGACAGAAGGGAGAGACACAGGAAGATGTAGAGGGAGGGAGAGGTGCCAAGAAACAGAGGAGCACAAAAATGTGAAAAGAAATAACAAGAAGGCTGGGCGCGGTGGCTCAAGCCTGTAATCCCAGCACTTTGGGAGGCCGAGACGGGCGGATCACGAGGTCAGGAGATCGAGACCATCCTGGCT